TTTCATTAATTTTTATTTTTTGGTTGTTTCTCGGTATTTTGGTATATTTCGGTATATACCGATCCCAATCGCGTAATCCCGAATACCGAATAGCACTCCAAAATGAATCCCAATCCCTAAAAAATAAATCGGTTTTCGGTAATACCAAATAGTGATAAGTTCGGTACGGTATTTGGTATAATCAAACCCGATCCCAAATACTGGTACCAAACTTCCAGCCCTAGTCCATAGTGTGGCTAGAAAAGTCATCTCATTGTTTCCTGCAGGGTGTATTGGGTTTGATTTCGGTGGTTGGCTCTCTGTGGAGGTCGTCGATGTGTAACTTATTGTTTATTGTTAATGCAAGTGATCTTTTCGTTAAAAAAATTAAATTAAATCGTACGATTTTTTTTTACATTAGGGACCTTTTTTTATTGTGTTGGAGCCATTTGCAGAGAGTCACCTTCTTATATGGCAAAAAATGGACAAGGGTTGGCTTTATAAGTTCCCTAAAAGAGGGTCAAATAAAGGGGAAAATCCCAAAGTACACATGTTCTTAAAAAAAATCTCAAAATAAAAATGTTTTATGAAATATTCTCAATCTACACATGTCAGCAACAATGAACGCTTCACCGTTGGTGTCCCATGCGATGAATACTCCCTTGGCCATTCATCATCGGTGTCCCACGCGGTGATGACCTGATTACTTCATAAAATACACAATACAATACGCAGACCCATAATTGGTTGTAACAGCCAAAAACCTTTTGATTGCTTCGACTGGAATCCCAATCACCTCGCATCTTTCCCATCGGATTCCACTGATTCTCGCTGCCGTCGCGTCATTAATTTTCCTCCCGTCAACCTAACGGGTTGGCCCGAGAAGAGAGATAGAGAAAGGAATACCAATCGGCCAACCTCCAACCTTACCTTCATTCCATTCATCCTTCCATCTAGGGTTTTCCATTCCTTTCCCAAAAAGCGACACTTCGAATCAACAACACAGAGCACGGGGGTGGGGGTGGAGAAGAAGATTTTGTTGCCCAACACTGTCCTGCAGAAGGACCGGACAGAGTATCATCGCCTCCGCAACACTCCCATCCCCAAGTGCCTCGTCGGCGACGACGACTAGGGATGGGCATCCGGTTCGGTAAACCCAAATCGAACTGCGCCGAACCCAACTTAGACCGTACCAAAACCGAAATGATGTTGTTCTGTTCGGAATTCGGAAGGGAAATTGACCAAGTTCGAAAACCAGGGTCCTCTCGACTGAACCAATTTTTTGAACCCCGAACCGATGACCCAAAATATGATGCATGGCCCAATAAACTGCGTAGTCCAGTACCCCCAGCAACCCAAATCACCTATTTCAAAGCCCATTCCCCCACCAGGCAAAACCCTAAGCCCAACCACACCTACCAGGCTCCCACCCCTATCACTTATCATTGTCAAAACTTATGTCTCCCACAACAACAGCCAACGTCTGCCGTCCCTGCGCCCCTGCCTCCAGCAAGCACCAACCCTCCACCGCCATTCCAATAGATCTCATCTCCTGCTCACTGACCGCCCAATAGAGTCCAATGCCATTTTCCCTCTCTTCTCTCTCTTCTACTCCTTGAGGTTGAGATCAGAAACCAAAATCCAAAAATAAAAAACCCACACATATCAAAACCAATACTGAAAATCAAAGAGGACGGAGGAACCCACATGCATGTGTAAAAGAGCTTACCCTATCCAACTTCCCACTCCATTGTCGGCGACGAGTTCAATCTTCCTCTTCATCATCGCTCGTGGGTTCAATCTCCGGCCCGTCGGCGGGATTGGAGCATCGTTCCCCCTCCTGCCGCCGGCTATGCCCGCCCCTGTCTCCAGTCTCCACACGCGGAGAGATCTCGTCATTCCTCGTGTTGTCGCCGCCCGTTGGCGTCAACCCACCAAGGGAAAACGAGAAAAAAAAAGTTTGGGCTGAGAAAAAGAGAAGGTAAGAAGAAGTGTTGTTTTAGATGGGGGAGTCGGCGACAAAAAGAGCGGAGCTCGACTTTGGTGGTGAAGGGACCCGACGGTGAATGGAAGAAGAAGAAGAACTCTTCAGGGCAGCCGTCGCTGACTGATGGATCTATATCTCTAATCTTGCGGCGGGTGGTGAGAGAGGGGAGAAGGAAGTTGGAGATGTGAGCGTAGATTAGTTTTTTTTTTTTTTTGTAGAATAGTTTGGGCTTTATGGGTGACAGTGGGGAGAATTTCGGAGTTTCGGGTTTTCCATTCCGAACCGAGTTATATAATTCGGTTCGGAATCGGTTTGGCCTTTTGCTGAATCGGGAATACCGGTAATCATATTTCGGTTCGGTTTGAACAGAACCGACTGAACGCCCACCCCTAACGGCGACAATGGGAAATCGGACAGATAATTTCCCCCAGGGATCCCCCCCCAACCCAGTCAAGCTTGAATTTAATTTCTCTAGTCGCATACACTATTGATTCCCCACCGGCTTTTCTCAAACTTTCACCTCTCATTATTTCGTCTCCTATTAATTAACCCAGTTGTAATAAGATCATCACTGTGTGGGACACCACCGGTGAATGGCCAAGGAGTATTCAGCGCATGGGACACCAGCAGTGAAGTGTTCATTGCTGCAAACGACCGCGGTGATACTGTTCACCGGTGAATGGCCAAGGAGTATTCAGCGCATGGGACACTAGCAGTGAAGTGTTCATTGCTGCAAACGACCGCGGCGATACTGTTCACCGCGTTTGACGACCATGGTGAATCTAAAAAATGTGTAGATTGAGAATATTTCATAAAACGTGTGTATTTTGAGATTTTTTTTTAACATGTGCACTTTGGGATATTTCCCCAAATAAAGAGTCTAGTTTTTAGAACATCCGAAGTGGAAGCATTTGTTTTACGATTAATTATCAATTCCATCAGCAAACTAGCTACTAAGCTATATAATTGTAACACAATGTATACTATATAAACTTTTAATTCGAACCATCTGAACGTTGTAAGTTTCTATACGCGTCTATATGTATCACTGTCATCAAGTTTTGTCGTTGTTATTAGAATTTATGCCAATTGTTTACTTGCGAAGGAGCCATCCCACTGGACATCGAATAGCAATCCGTGTAGGTAAGAGATGGAATTATTTGCTAGTCATGTAAGAGAGCGGGAGAGATAGAGATTTGAAAGGTGGGTTTTTTTTAGAAGGAGAACGAAGGCTAGGGAGATCTAATCTTGGATCCAAGTCAAAATCACTTGTCTTGCCCTCCGACCTCCAGCTACAGGAGTACGACGTCCTCTGGTCTCTGCATCGGCGATGGAGAATTCTGCTTATGCTCTGCTCCGGTTTTCGCAATTGGAGAAAAACAAGGTTGTGATCGGAAGAGGTGGGGGGCGATCCTGCCATTGGTGGGGTTGTCTCAGTCCGAGCAGAGGTGGAAGTATTCCTGGGGGTGGTGGCTGCCGCCTGCCGAGAGAGCAGAGACGGAGAGCGACTCTCTCCATTTTTTTAAGTGAACGACTCTCTCCATTTATTCATGTTAGGCTTAGGGTTATAGGGGATTGGGTTATGGGTAGAGCTTGGGTTGGGGAATGTTTGTGTCTGGTTGGGCTATGGGTAGGAGCTTGGACTGGAGAGAATTTGGGCTTCAATTGGGCTGTGAGTGTAGGGGATTGGGCTAGAGAGATAATTAAGCAGACTTTCAGTTGAGCTGTTCGGAATGTGGAAACTCGGTTTGATCAGGATTATCATGGTTCCTAAATTAGCCCTATTTTCCTCCGAATTCATAACCGAATTAATATTTTAATTTTGATTCGATTCAAATTAGTTTTACAGAACTGGATGTCCACCCCTAGTTATCAGCAGGAACGAACAACAAAACATCACAACGAGAATGAATCTCATGTGGTCATGAAAATATCAATCACCTAACTATGGTGGAAATCGGTACGGTATCGGTATCTCAATACCAAATCTCGAAATCTCGAATACCGAATTACACCTTAAAGTCAATCACAATCCCTGACTATTTCGGTATCCCAATCGGTATTATCGAATACGAAATTAATTACCTTTGCCAGTAATAATTAAATATATAAATTAGATTTGATTGTTTAATTTAGGGTAAAGAGACTAAGCAAAGAGTCTTGAGTTTGCCTAGAGCTAGGATATGGATAAAGAGAATGAATGAGAGGTGAGATCTCAAATTCTTGTTATTGGTAATCCTTAATTTGACGAATTGGAGGTTGAGAGGCGACTAATACTAGTGTTTGTGTTTTTGTTGTTATTAAAATAACAAGATATTAGGTGAGAAACGAGAATGACTTAATCTGGAAAGTCAAAATTGAGTTGGATGGGGGCTTTTAAGTTGTGAAAGAGTGCGTAATCACTAAAGGTTGTGTGTTATATTTCATTAATTTTTAATTTCCGATATTTCTCGGTATTTCAGTATATACCAATCTCAATCCCGTCATCCCGAATACCGAATAGCACTCCAAAATGAATCTCAATCCCTAAAAAATAAGTCAATATTTGATAATATCAAATAATGATAAATTCGATACGGCATTCAATATATCTCAAATACCGGTACCAAACTTCCAGCCCTTCACCTAACCCATAACCACTAATCAATTAGACCATCCACAACGTGGGTTGGTTTTGTGGGAAAAAGGGGAAATGTGACCACAATGTGGGGGGGGGGGGAATAGGGGATTAAGTGGGTTTTGTGGGTTTAGTGGGTGGGAAAACCCACCAGATGAGACAAATGGTGGGGGGAGGTGGTGGATGGGAAAGGACAACCCTTTTTTCTGATTTTAGCAAAGGCTTGTTTGGAAAGCTGTGTTTTTGTCAGTCATACTTAATTAGTGATGAAAAAAATATGTCTAAATTAAAAAAAATTATGTTGAAATAATCGTATTAATTAATTATCACTAAGTACGTAATAATAATGATCATTATATGAAAATAAAGTGACAAAATCAACTATAGATTGATTTTAACAAAAAAGTACTAAACTGATTACCCACTTTTCTCACCACAGTCTGACCAAATCATCCAATTTTCCCACTTTTCCCTCTTTTCCCACATTTTCCCCACCCACATTGTGGATGGTCTTACTATACTCAAAACAAATGATGAAACAAAGTGGCCCCGCGTGTTCAGAGAGGGCGATAGAATCTAAAAAGTAGAAGAGAACCAATCAAAAGGAAGGAAACACAGTAGATAACCTGTTCCGGACCATACCATATAAACAAAATCCCATCTTTCTCTTTGCTCACAAACAACAACAAAAACAATCAAATCGTTCTCTCCCTCACAAGTTCCTTCCCCTCTGTTCACCTTCGCAGAAGCAACTTTCTTGTTGGTTTCTCATTTCCCCCCGTTTCGCGCTGCCACAACCCGATACCGTAACCGGCCGAGGATCGCTCTCAGCTCAGGTTCGTCTCTCTGTTCGCTTCCTTCGTTTGCTATTTTTGATTCTCTTCGATTGCTGTTGTTTGTAACCAATTTTGCTCTGCTGTTGAATTTGGTAGAAGGGAAGCTCAGAACGGTCTAGGGTTTCATTTTCAATTTTTGATTTGGTTCGGGGGCGATGGCGTCGAAGCGGATCTTGAAGGAGCTCAAGGATCTGCAGAAGGATCCTCCTACATCTTGCAGCGCAGGTCTGTGTTCGATACTCCAGTGCCTTTCACAGATCTATTTCCTGTTTGCTTGTATCGTTGGTTTATGTGTTTAGTATGATATGTTGGTTGTTTGAGAATATTTTCTCTGGTAGTTGGTTTGTTTGTGTGTTGGGTTTTTGTTTTTGGTTAGTAGGGATTATGGATTCTTAGAACGATCCTTCAGCTGAGTGGGAGGGATTGATTGTAGTTGGAGAGAGAAAGGTTGTATTGGGCTTTTGTATTACTCTGAATTTTTACGATTGACAACAATTTGATGGAAAGCAAGAGAAGATACGTCCTGTGGCATGGTGAGGGATTGTTTGACGTTCAAGTCCTTGCTGTAGCATCTGCTACTGGGGTATAGTTTATGTGGTTAAAGCAAGTTCTTGGTCACTTCTTATTTTTCTATTTAAGGCAATAAAATGCTGTTCGGTTGGACTAGTCTTTACTTCCCACTGCATCGAGCCAGAAAGTTCAGCATCTCAGTAATTTGACAGTTGCATCCATAATAGAAAGAACTTTGTGTAGTGACCTATTTTTCAGATTGTTTTTGTGTTTTGGCTTTGGAACATTTTGGCTCATCTCTGGTTTGGTTGTCTTGATGTGCAGGTCCTGTTGCTGAAGACATGTTCCATTGGCAAGCAACAATCATGGGTCCTCCAGATAGTCCCTATTCCGGTGGTGTGTTTCTAGTCAGTATTCATTTTCCACCAGACTATCCATTCAAACCACCAAAGGTGCTCGACTGAACCTCTTCATATATCGAAACATTGCTAACCTAATCTTATTTGTGTTCCTCTGCATTATGCATCATGATTATCATGATACCTATTTTTTTGTAGTCACTCTACATGTTACTGTTGGGCTGGATATGCTAATTATGCTTCTGCTGTAATGGATGGACTTGTGCAGGTTGCTTTCCGTACTAAGGTCTTTCACCCCAATATCAACAGCAACGGTAGCATTTGCCTTGATATTTTGAAGGAGCAATGGAGCCCTGCACTCACCATATCCAAGGTCATTCTCTCTACTGTTTACCAATATGAAAAGATTCAAGCTTTTCTTGTGCACATGTTCTGTGCTGTGTATTTGGCGTATGTGGGAATTGGTCTCCATTACTCCGTCACCTGTTACTGGCAGTATTGCTCAAGACCTTCTCTAATTCAAGCAGGTGTTGCTTTCGATCTGTTCCCTACTGACCGATCCCAACCCAGACGATCCATTGGTACCGGAGATTGCCCACATGTACAAGACCGACAGGAGCAAATACGAGACAACCGCCAGGAGCTGGACTCAGAAGTACGCGATGGGCTAGCACGATCTGCCGCGGTGTGCATTCTCCGGGAAAGGAAAAGCTGTCTTTCCTGTTGTGCCATTGGGTCATGAAAGAAAATTGTTGTGTATGAAAGTAAAAGTATGATATTGCTGTCTATCTTATGAATGGGACCTTGAAAAAGAAAATGGTCAAGTCTGTGTAGACAGACTTCTGTCCCCTGTTCTCTCTGAAATCAAACACAACTGCTTGTTTTTTAATTGCCTGTCACTATGAGAATCTATCTGTGGAAAATTTCCTTGAGAAAACAGTTCTGACACAATCATACACCTCTTGCTACAATGTGAAGTTCTGTGATGACATTATTCGTCGGTTCAGCGACAAAATAATCTTTGCTGATTGAAAATTCGGCGGCAAAACTTGCTCGATGCAGCTCAGAGACTTCGCAACAAGCTCGTGATTGCAACAAACTTCGATGACGCAAGGTATCGTTGCAAAAATGGTTTCACTCTTGCTTATACACTAGGCAAACGTATTATCATTTACCGTGGCTGAATCTCCTCATTTTATGTCCTTAAAAGTTTCCCCTTAGCCCTGTAGGCTAAAGCCGTCATTCCAACATGAAAATTACAGCGGCACTCAAAATTCAAGTTTCTGTGAAGGGAAGTAAAAAAATCAAAATGACAACAGTCGACATGACATGATTAATTGCGAGTTGTACAATTGATTATCGATCGAGAGGCATCCTACTATTGAAAATTTCAATTTACAGTAACGCTCTTCACATTTGAAAAAGAAATATTGTCCAAAACCCCCCAAAAAAAAATATCAATTAATTCACAAAAAAGAACCAAAAATCGATTTTTCATTTTTGTCTTTTTTTACCCTTTTGCTGTGTAGTTGTGGGCTTTATTACTTTCCTGCCCCCACTCCCAAAATTGTCAGGAGCGAGAAATAATGCGAGTATAGATGAACTCGTTCCACGTATCGGGCAGCCCGGGCAGGCACCAATGTATGCAGTCGGCGTACGTCGCCGGATCCGCCTGCTGCTCCGGCGACAGCATCTTCCCCTGCCGGATCGTGTGCACCGACGTGTGCGCGTCTTTCCTGTACTCCGACAACCGCGTTATGTTGTTGAAGTGGACCGGCACCTTCATACCCGCCGTCACGTTCGCCGCTATGGCCAGCAGCCGCCGGTCCGTCCCCACCTCTAGCGGCATCGTTTGGTTCAGAACCGGCGCCGTTTCCAGCGCGCACTTTATCCCGTTCGGGTTCTCCCAGTCCTCGCTCCTGTTAACAAAAATTATATTTAACCTCGTTATTAAAACGTGCGTCATGTAACCTAATTACATTAAATTATGGATTAGTTTACTAGCTCCATATTAAATCATGGATTAGAAATCAAAGCTGATGAGATGAGAAAGAGAGGATATATGTACTTGATATGGAGAGGGGACATGCTACTGAAGAACACGGTGGTGCGGTTAGGATCCACGTTTCCTTCAACCCAATTGGACCACGTGTTCAACACTCGCTGATAAGCTACGGGCCGTGGGATCTCGTCGTACTCCGTTGATCCTTCATCGAACGATCCTCGTCTATGCCACGCGGCGATGAAAGAGAAATTAATTTTAAAAAAAAATTGAACTGACGATGGAAATGGATTTCACTAGCATTTGGCTAATTGTTACAAAAAACAATTTAGTACTTACAAGACTTTCATGGCGAAGGTGTTCATCCACCAGATGTAGGTGTTGAAGATGAGGTAATCCACGTTCTTCCAGTTGGCTCCGTGCTTGTCGATGGATTCCGGCATTATGATTCGGTTCAAGATGCTGTGCATCGTCGGATCGTCAGAATTCGACTCCACCAAAAACGGCGCCCAGTAGAACTCCACTGTCGCGTTGTAGTCCTGCCATGGACACCACCACACCCGATCATTTTCGACACACATATGGTTAATCTTAATCCCTCCCTAGTTGCTTGTTACTTCAGCAAAGGTCCATGAGAAAATATATTTCTATTATTATTAGTGTCTTAATCTGTTCTTTCTCTTTAGGCTCTTTTCCTCTTTACCCTTAAATATTCATTAAAAAATGTCAGATTCTTCTATTGAGTAATACTAAAATCAGAAGTGGACATCAAACAAAAAGTCAGATACTTTTTTCTTTAGTAAAATAGAATCATTTTGGATTAGGTAGGTTTCATTACCAAATTATGTAACAACTAAACAAACAAAAAGATTCCATTTTCTTCAATTGTTGTATAATAGAGAGGTCAATAATAATAATAATAATAAAGAGAAAGGAAATTAAGGCTATGCATGGGCTAGAGAGAGAAAGCTTCAAAAGCAGCATGGCAAAATCTACCAAATTTAAATAAGTAATGATTTTTTCTAATATTGGGGGTTCATTCAAAGCATAGCCACAACCTAATCAATTGTATATCTCAGTAAGAACATGACAAAAGCAATCCCATTTATTGATTTTGATGCTCATCCTTTCATGATTAACCAATAAAATAGCATCGACAGGTGTTGGAGGGTGTAGTGAAAATGGAATGCCAAAGACAAAGGAAAAGGTTATTATTGTCGAGGAACAGTTATTGTGTTTATATATGTGTAATGTAAAGTTGGATTAAGCGTTGTTATCGTTTTGATTCAACGATTGTGGATTATCTGTTCTTAATTTAACAACATCAAGAGTTTGTACATACTCACAATGAGCTTGTGAGCACCATAATCGGATTATTATTGTTGTAAAATGATATGCCATCCTCCCTTTTTGTATAAAAGATAAGGGACCTATTGGCAAATTCGTAAAAAGAATAGGGACCGAAGAGAGTAATTTTACCTCGATCCTGAAAACAGCCAACGAACCGTTCTTGTTCAAGCTCTTTCTACCCGGAGGGATCACGGACTGAACCAAGCAAATCATTGATTCCCACTGGTTCCGATTCAGCGAGTCACCAACGAACATCAGCCTCTTGTTCCTTAGCTTCTTCAGCAGCAGCCTCGCCTTGAACCTTTTCCCCGCAATCGTACATTACCAAAGGTTCATCAATCATCCCGAAATTCATCAATAAATTGTTAAATATTTTTCCAATTAGCTCTGTAGCTTACTTGGGCAAAGAACAGTCTCTGGGCTGCCACCTCCAGTTCTGGTACATGGAATCCTTCCTTCCATTCCGCATACAAGTCACCTGCGCCGTCAAGAACTCGCATTTCTCCTCCTCGTACAGCGGGTGCGTCTCGTTGTCGAACACCCATTGGCCGCTGTACAGATCGCAATCTTCCGGAGGCAATTCCACGTCGTCCAAATCATCATCATCTCCTTCTTCTTCTTCTACTACTACTTCTACTACCTCTGCTTCTTGGGCCGCGGTTTCAATTTCATCACTCCCCTGCTTAATTTTCCCTTGCTCTGCCGCCGCTGCCAAAATGGCGGTGGCTGTGGTTGGGTTGGGATCTTGGGCCGCTTCTGGGGAAGTGGGCCAGGAGAAGGGGAACTCAGCCATTGACTGGACGTCTTCGTTGTACATGAAAATCCCAAAGAGGAAGACGGAGAAGACGACGACGAAAACAGAGAGGTTGTTGTTCTTCCTCTGCTTCATTGCTGCCGCCGTGAAGGACGAGAAGTGATGGGATTTCCTCCGAATCGACGGCTGCATATTATGGAACAATACAAAAGAGGAAATCAATTGAAGGGGGGGGGGGGGGGGGGGGGGGGGGGGGGGAATAAGGAGGAGATTGTACTATATAAAGACCTGATAAACAGAAATTTGGGTAATGATAAGAAACAGGGGAGGAAGAAAAACAGAGGTTGATAAGCTAGTGGGAAAAAAGAAAGGGACTTGCTTGCTTACTTACTTACATCCAAAGAAGCAATCTTTTCTGCTTCTCTGTTGTTGGGGAGGTTGGGTTTTTATTTTATTTTGTTGTTTGTGTAGAGAAAAGAAATGGGATTTGGTGAGATGGGTTTGTCCTGGGAAGAAACTGGGGTTAGGGTGCTGGTGGAGGGAGAGAAGTCATTCTCAAGTATTGTTGTTTCCGTTCCCCTCTCCACCTTTAGTTTTGTATATCTTCTGCTAACAACTTTCAGCTGCTTCCTCTTTCTCTTCATCTTCCTCAGAGGAAGGAAGGAAGGTGACGGACAGCGATGCAGGGGAAGGAAGAGAGAGTGAGACAGAGGAGATGTTTGAGTGATTTCAAAGTTTATTTTTTCCTTTTATTCTTTTCTGGGGAGGCTTGGTCTCATTCCTAACGAAAGGTAAGCAAGGCTTGCAGTTCTGTTTACTGGCAGACCACAAGTTACTATCTCTATCTCCCAGATCCAGGTTCAGAGCTGGCGTCACAGAACCAAGCAAACTACTATTTGGATCATACTAATGTGTATACTTCATTTTCGCCATTGACAAAGTCCTTTGGGTTCGGTGTAGGTCAAACATAGACAACCGCAGTTAAGAAGTAAAAAGGTTTTTCATTCAGAACTCAAAAAGATTATCAGAGCAAACAATGGCAGCTTCCTAATTACGGGTCCCCTGATACTATTTCTGGTTGGAGAATTTTCTGTGAAGGGGAAACCCTAACAGCCAGAACTTCCATGGTTCACTTAGTTAAGCAGGAGAGACAGAGATGGATGGTGTTGATCCAATGTAGTTTAATTCTGGGCCACTGACTGAACACTCGAATTTTAGGAAATTGGTATGTACCTAATCCAGTTGTATTGTGATGTAGAGTTGGGTTGTTGTTTTTGGTACAAATTAAACGGCCCAAGTTGACTCTGGACGAATCTCAAGTAACGAGTACCCCTTAAGTACTCATAGGTTACATCCAATATCACTAATTCCTTCCACCTTACTCATTTCAATGATAAGAGTGTCATATCGAAAATTAGGAGTCCTTGCTCCGGGACAAACTATAGTGCAAGTGAAGGATGATATAAGTTGTATCTAACGGTAAATGTTGATGGATTGGCCTGGGTAGGAATGCAAACAAGGAAACAATTCATATCAAGTAAGTATGTGATGCAATCAAACACGATAATTCACAGGTGGATTGATTTTAGCTTAGAAAGGTTTGTGATAATCACAAGCATTGTTATGTTACTTGGTTGGCTATCCTTGACCTTACTCTAGTCCAACTAAGTCCTACTACTACATAAGGTGAAAACAAGGTCATTCAAATTGTGTTGCTTATAATAGGAGTGTTGCAGATGAACATATGAGAAAGAGAAAGACATCACTAAGGAGAATCTTGTTGTTATGGATAAACAGTGATTAGATTGCCTCCGTAAACCATGATCATATAGTCTTCAGGTCTCGAGATTTGTTTAGTTCAAAAGTCGATAACTTCATTAGTGCCAGAGACTTACATGTTCATGTTCTTGTGCTTGTGCTTGTAGTTAGGGGTGGCTATACGGTCCGGTCCGGTTAAATTGGACCAAATTGATCCGGTCCCAGTCCGGTTTTTTCGGGAATATAAGGACCAAAGATTGGATTGGATACAGTCCGGTCTTGATCTGGTCCGGTCTTGACCCGGTCTGGTCCCAATTTTATCTTGATTTTAGGTGTTGGGGGTCTCTTATCCGGTTTTTTTACCTCAAATCTAAACCCGAATATGAGATTGCATTGTTTGCTATCTGGTCCCAGTCCGGTCCCGGTCCAAGTTATACGGTCCGGTTTCGGGTAAAACCAAACAGTCCGGGACCAAATAGCCAGCCCTACTTGTAGTTGTGTAGGTTTGTATTAATTCGTTTGGAAATACAACGTCTACCATAGCAACCTAATTGTATTTGGTATGAAGCATATTGTAATATTGTAGTATTGTCTAGTTTATAATACTAGATAGATAGCCCGCGCTCCGCAGCGAGTACCCTTTCGTATCTGAACATGCACTTATTTTTTAGTTTAACCACACACTACAATGGATATTATGATGTTAGTAGAAATGGATATCATGGTGTTAGTCAAAACATGTTTTTTACTACATTGAATTATCAAATGTTTTGTTAATTCTTTTCCATAAATACTTACATTGCGATTTTGTATTCATTGCAGTCAAAATTTCGATTCTATGTAGAAGCGTTTTTGGTGACCTAGAAGCGTAAAAATATAAGCTTTAAAACATAGATTTTGACTACAATTGTGAGTGAAAAGTATGATTCTACGTATAAGCTTTTTAGTGAGCTAGAAGAGTAAAACCGTGATTTTTTAGATTTTAAAGCGTGATTTTGACTACATTAATTGTATTTTACACGTTATAAAACCAACTAAAAAACTCCAAGACACCTCAAAAGCGTTATAGGAATTCTCACATATTCTAAAGTGATCTTGGCCTTCCTTATTGTGTATTGTCAATCCAACTATTTTGCTTTTTAACTCCAAAATCCCCCTCAACATCTCGTGGCTTACCTTTCATTTATCCACGAAAGTACATAATATCCCATTAGATTACACTCGAATACGATTAGCAGCATGTAACTAATGGATTCAATGATTTTCCTTCCATTATCCACAAAATCATATGACCTCTTTTTACACTTGGAGAGGATTAGGTAAATGCAGAAGCAAGTGTCACTCGACTACCATAAGTCCATAACTACTTCCTTCTTTTTTTCCATTGTAACTCCTGTTTGATACTTTATTTATCTTTTGTCGGTATTCTGTCGGAAAACCAAAAGAGAGATGGTTCATGCAAATGGAATTAGAGTCTTAGCTTCTAAATCAATAAAAAGTTGTTAACTTTGTCTATTTAAGGAGGTGGCAAAAAAAGATTTGAATTTATAAAAAATCAAATCCAACTGGATAATTTGTTGAATAATCAAATACTTTGTCTTAATAATGGCAAAAACGACATCACAAAGCAATGACATAATAGGAAAATAATTAATAGAAAGTTAAATTAAGAAGACCGAACGTTGGAGGATTATAAACTGAAGCATTAATAGTTAAATTATTGCAAATACTCAAATCGATACTAAAGTTACAGGGCACCTTGAAGTGAAATAACTGAAGGCACAATTCATGCTTAAAAAGTGTTGTCGTGACTTAGGAAGCTGGAATAATATTTGCAACTCACTCAAAAGCAAGGATTACAAAAGCAAAAGCCGTTTTGATTGATCTCATTGAACATGTAACTGTGATGTTTATCAAAAAACACATGTATGTGACCAAAGCATTGATCAGTATACAAATAAAAGGGTTTGTAATCAAGTTCACAACATGCTAAATTTCTAATTCAAAGAAAACATCATACTCAATATGCTACGAATTATTCAAAATTTCTAATAAGATTCTTGGAAGGTCAAGAAAGTGTTAGCTGTGCAATGGAAGCATTAAAAATATCGCTAGTACCAAGTAGTAAAATGAAATAAGAGACAAACAACTGAAAATACAGTGAATGTAAGAGAATTGCATAAGACACCTACATATATAATGACACAGCTAGTTACAAATGATCCCATATAATCTTGTTTGAACAAACTGTTGATATTCTACGACAAAGCATTATAGGATTAACTTGCAGAAACATCTCATATATCATGTTAAGTTCTAAATTTCATTATACTTTAATTTCAAATAGTTTCTTGCTAGTTAGATAGAAAAGAAATAAATTAACAACTGTACGAATTATCATAGACTATATGCTAGTATAAAACCTATATATTTTATGTAATGTGATTGTCAAATGAACTAGCCTTGATATTGAAAGCCTAAAAAAGTATTAAAGTCGAGCCTTACTGATCATATTATCCATGTAGTTTAATTGGGCGGAACATATTAGGCTTAGCTTCTCTCATTTTGGTGGAGGAGAGAGCATATTTATCCATGCAATTTGTTTGTCGCAATTAACCAAACCATGTATTCTAAAATTAGTGGGAGAAGAAGTAGCTATTTCAAAGCTAATGGAGGCCAGGTGGCATCCCCACTATGCAACGTGTAGCTCATGCAAATTGGAAAAAGGGACTGATGCTCAACTGGGATTTTCAATTGCTTCCTTTTTCCCTTTTCTGCGTAGTCGTCAAGCAACTTCCGAAAATTACAGTCCATTTATGAGGTTTTTGCAAGGGGAAAAATTGGAAAGCGAGACTGAGAGTTGGCTAGCATCCAGGTAGAGCAACGGCGGGAAAAAAACGTCGAGCACTACAGGTAATCGGGGAGAAAACAGGGTGGATGGACGGGAAACAACGCGGAGAAGGAAGGAGTGGGGAAAAAGTGGCAATCGATATTGCCTGCTGGAAGGAAGAAGATGGATGCATGCATGCGTTGTTTGCCTACTATTCGTTCAATCGCCAGGGAAACAACAGAGATTTTGTGAGGGATTAGCCAAGATTGTGGAGGGAAGACCACCAAGGTTCTATACTACTTGGATAGCCGCCAGCCGATCGCCACGGGGCTGTGGAAGATCAAAGAAATGCGGGGATGGAGAGAAGTTGAATCGACGCGGGGAGGAGAGAATTCAACGGCCGAGATCAACATCCAGCATGTATGTGGACGGCGATCCCCGTAGAGATCAAGACTTGGCATATATTGACAGCGATCCGTGTGGTCTGCAGTATACTTATGGTAGACCCGCCCACTCCCCACTGGACCCCTTAAACCAAATAGGCGCTATTTATATAATAATTGCAGTTAGATTCCTTTCTGATTTCCTATGTATATATGTAGACTGTATAGCAAGCAAAAGAAAGTGGCAAAGTGCCCACTGGCCACTGCCCAGCCAACTCAAATAACGGTTACAATGTTACAAGTTTCACCTAACCTAACCTAACCAACATGTGAAACGTCAACGTTATGGGCATTAATAGTCCATGCACTTCTATTATGTAATTAATATATGATTTGGTGACATGCACTTAATAGAAACCAAAGAAGGAAACCATGTGAAATTTCTTTATCAAACAACTACTGCAGATAACTCTTTGGCCACTAATTATAATGATTTGTGCTCTTAAACAAAATTAACAGCCAGTAAGACTGAGAAAAGGTAAAGGCTAAGGCTAAGGCAAATATGCAATAACCTCTGTTTGGAAGGCTCCTACATTGCTGGTTTTCGAAGGGAATACTTGGGCAAACACCACCCGAAGGCGGCAATCCAACAAACAGAGGACACACTGACAAGTATACTTTCTATAGTACAAAGTACTGAATACGTTTCATAAGAGAATAGAGTAGGCAATGCAATTAATGGTAAAATCATATGGGAGATTAAGGGGTCGGGGTCGTTTGTTTTATGGATTTAAAAATGAGGGTTTTGTAATTTAAAAATCCAAGAATTTATCAAGGATTTGAGGTATCATGGATTTGTAACAATCCTTTGTTTGTCGGGATGTTTTTATCATGGATTTAAAGGTGTGGGATTTACTACTTGAAGTCAAAAATTACATTACTTCCCTTTTCTATACGTTTGACATGTTTATGATATGTACACAAAACAAGGACAAAACTTCAAAATTAGCTTATTATCATTTTCTATATGTTTGACATGGTTATGATATGTACACAAAACAAGGACAATACATACTAATAAGCATAATGTTGCCACATGGACAATAATAATAAACGAGAAAATTCCGTTTTAACTTTTAACGTAACATAATCAATTACCAATTCTTTGTCCTCCTTTTCAAAAGTAACATATAACAACATATATTAGAATCGGGAGAACAAAGAATTACACTTTCCACGAAAAGGTCAAAGAAAACTAGAACACAAGAAATGATATAAAAAATCTAACTCATGTTTGCACATTAATTGAACGTTTATATTATTCATTTATTGTTAATTATAATGTATAATAGTTAAATTTGAGGGCAACCTTGGAATATTAAAAGTGCATGAGGATATATGGGTAAAATCTCATCAAGGATTTATGCCATATTCCAAATCCCACATCAACATGTGGGATTTATAAGTCCGTGGGGTCCACGGATTTGGACCCTTAAAATCCGTGGGCCCCACGGATTTGGTCTCCAAAAAAGGTGCAAGCAAACAACGGATTGTACCTAAATCCTTGATAGTTGGTTTTTTGGTACCAAATACATGTACCAAATCCTTGAAGCAAACGACCCCTAAGTTGGCGAGACAAATGGTTTGGAAAATAATACTCGATATAATAAACTAAACTGTTAGAATACTATTATAATGTTGTAAAAAACTCACGACAGGTTCAACTAGTAGTACATAATTTATAAGGGTAGTTATCCTAAATGGTAACAAAACTATTCGTTTTGTACAAAACGGTCACAAACCTTTAATTTTGCATATTTCAGTAACATATGTTTGGACTAATAACAAAAAGGTAATTTCGTCCATCTCCATCCAAAATTCTGTTAGTTTGAGCCAGTCACCTCTCTCATCAGCATCCACGTCATCAAAATAATCATTAAAAAATAAAATAAATACAATTAAACCGTAACCAACCCACCACCCGAATCCAACCCAACCCATTCCTCTCTGTCTCCTCTCCCTCACCGCCAGAATTGCAGACCTCGGCAGCAAAAATCAAGCTGGTAGCCTGGTACTGATACTTCCCAACGCCATCTCCATCCATCCGCAAAGGATAAATAGAGCACCAGTTGATTCGTTCTTCCCCTCCTTGGCCTTCCTTTTGCTCTTATACAGCTTTCTCCCATATCTGTGAGTAGATTCCCCATTTCCCTGTTTCCTTTTCCTTGAATCGGTGAGCTGGGTTTTCGATTTCGGGTTGATTCCGAAGGTGGGTCTCTTGGGCATTTGCGTTAGTTGATTTCGTTTGTTAGGGATAACAATGGCGGGGAGAATACGACCGGTGGTGTTTCTAAGCCGCGCCAAGCCCTGATGGATGTGACGAATCAGCCTCCAAAGAGAGGGTTTTCGTCGATCTATGGCGATTCAGGGTTGAAAGGTGTCGAAAGTTTTGAGATTTCGGGTTTTGCGAAGCAGGTGTGTCTAGGAGTGGAGAATTTGGTCAGGGAGAAGTGCGAATCTGGGTTTAAGACTACTGGTGACAATGCGCGGAAGAGTGTTCTCAAGAAAGACGGGCACATTCTTAATTCGAACCGTGTTGCTAGTGATATCGGAATTGGCGATGGAGTTGAGAGTGTTGCTAATGATATCGGAATTGGCGATGGAGTTGAGAATGTAGTTTCCTTGGTCTCAACTCTTAGATGGTAGTGTTGATGTTTCTGATTTTTGTTGCCGAGGTGGTGGTGGAGTGTTCCCCTTTGCAGCTATGGTGGGGGAGAGGGAGAGGAGATAGAGAGGAATGGGTTAGATTGGACTGGGGTGGGTTGGTTAGGGTTTAATTGGTTTTTATTTTATTTTTTATTAATTATTTGATGATGTGGATGCTGACGGGATAGCTGACTGGACCAAACTAACAGAATTTTGGATGGAGATGGACGGAATTACCTTTTTGTTATTAGTTCAAACATATGTTATTAAAACGTGCAAAATTAAAAGTTTGTGACCGTTTTATACAAAGTGAATACTTTTGTTACCATTTATGATAATTACCCTAATTTATAACCGGTAAAATCGTCTGGTGCAATACGGTATCTCATAAACACTAATAAATACATATATCTATATTTTAGGTACAACTTAGTGAATTCATCATTTGTAGCTATCATTTGCTCCAAAGTCCAATGTATATTTGTATTAGCACTAGAAGATTACGAAATCTAAGCAAACAATCTCACATAATATGAGCATTAACAGGTGGTTCGTTTCATGAATTTTAAAAATGAAGGTTTTGGTGAAATTTTAGTTTTGTGAAACCATGGATATATAAGGGCTTTTGGTTCATTATGAACTTGAAAAATATCTTTGTTTGTTTCATAGATGTCATGATGGATTTGGTTAATCCGATTTGTACGTACGAAGTGAAATTGACCTATATTGTCCTCATTTGTATGAGAAGAGAAAGATAATAAGAGGGGTAGGTTGGTTATAAGGTTGTCAACCCGCGGGTCGGCCCATTTTGACCCTGACCCTGTGAGAAAAATGGGCCGCACGCACCCGTCGGGTCGACCACTACAAGGTATCAGGTTGGAGGTCAATTTGTGTCATTTTTTTCTTTGGTTTGCGAAATGCGCCTATTTACATATTTTTCTTTTCGCCTAACTCAATCTTTGGAATCCTTAGTTGAACATTTGAATATTGATGTTATGTAAGTGTATGTGAATTTTCAATATATGTTGGATCTAAGTACGACATGTTACTTTTGTGTAATGTTATATGTTATTACTCATATGTTAGATGAGATTTGATATAATTTATCAGGATAAGTACAATATAATGACTTTTTCCATATTTCTGGGCTAAAACGAGTGACCCATTAACCCTTAACCCACTAGCTCGACCGGGTCCGGATCAACCTGCGGGTTGACATCCTTGGTTATAAATGAAGTCCATCATCAATTCCCACCTAAAGATGTTGAATTTTCAAATCCGTGAAGCCGACGGATTTGTTATCTCCAAATACATGAAGCAAATAATGGAGTTTAAACAAAATCCATGATAAATCCAAATAAATCCAAATACATGACCAAATCCATCAACAAACAACCTCTTAAATCTTCACCTTCCTCTAGGAAAACCCCAAGAATAAGAAGAAGAAAGGAATTGATGGTGATTATGTTAGAACAACATGCAAATTGTACATGATTAGGTCAATGGAAACGCAAAAGACGAGAATGAATAATAACACGATGATATGACAGAATGAATAATACTCACGATGAAACAGGGGAGGAATCAATCAAAGATTACCTCTGTAGTTGTCGTTTTGGTAAGAGTGGCGACCCGAGTGGGCGATTAACTTCCACCTAGACCACAAGAGAGAAGAGTTATTGAGATCAAATTCATCTTTGTTTGTGTGGATTTTCCAGAGATGGGGAACAGATTTACATGTTAACACTTGTGCTTGTTCATAATATACCTTGGCGCATTGGATTTGTAACCTCCAAATTTGGTTTTGGAATCTTAATAAAAGAAATGACATTTGACTACCTGTGTTTCCTTTTCTTGTTTTTGGAAACTTAATAGATGTCCCCTTTTCCCATAAAACTGGGCTTGGATAGCGTCACAACCCCTTTAGGGGTTGTGAGATTCGCTTCCCTGCTTCCAGCCGTCCGTTTCCCTTTCTCATCTCACGGTTGACAAAATATGAAGGGCTTTTTTGGAATGACTGTCTATGGAAAAATTTGAATTAATAACATAAATGCATTGGAAAAGATTTTGGAGCGTGATTGGTGGGTTTCATTACCACTAACCATAACTAGCATCAGGCCCGGCCCGTTGGCCGGTGGAATTCGATGATGCTGAATTAACATTCACGTATAGAACCAAGAAATGAATAAACTACGTGGGAAGGAAGCAACTCAGTTCCCATAGGTTCCAGCAGCAGAATCTCTGAAATTGCAATATGATGTTTTCCAAAAGTTGTAGTTTAGATTACCTGCTGCTAAAGAAAATAGAAAACCTAGGTAGTTTTGCCAAATACATAGATAATGAACTACTAATGTAATGAACATAGGTTTCAGAGCGAACAACTTAGTAATAATAGAAATTTCTAAAATCCAACACTACTTCTCTTCCTCATCAGAATCAACCACTTGGGCCTTCTTCTGCCTCTTGAAGTTATTCCCTTCTGTAGCTTCAGAACTTGCAGAGCTATCCTCTAAGTTTGCTTCAACCAAATCAGGGCTAATTTCCTGGCTGTTGGCAGGAAATGAAGTTTGGGATGCAACTGACTCCTCAATGATTTGCTGCAAAAGTTATTAGAATAATGAGAGAAGGGAATGAATGAATCTTATCTCTAGATGAAAATGACACTGAACCTGTAGTCATTACCGCAAGAGGATCATGTTCTATGCAAGCCACAGTATACTCGGCTTGAGGGTTGATGAAGTTGAATTGGGTTAGCTTAACATGCACTTTCAATTTCATGCTAACAACTTGCTCAATCTGCCGGGGAATTGGTTCCTTGTTCCTTTGATTTCCTTGGAATAAAACATCAGCCATAACACCAAAGAAACGCAGTCCTTCACGCTCTAAAATTGCAAAGTCAGCATCACCAGAATCATCCTGCAGCTGAAGCTTGACTCTATACCTAGATTAAAAATCAAATACAAATCATGCGTGAGTAAAGTCTAAATCTGAAGCTACGATTCAAGTTCAATCTTCCTATCAAATTTTCATAACTAAGACAAACAAAATTATGTTGTTCCTTTGCTATTAGATTGTTCTATCAATTGTAGTAGTTGTCCGAAGGTAATTGTTGTTGTTTTTTGAATAAAGGCACAAATACCAGTTAAACGCAAATAACAGTAAGCTCTAACTTCTTTCATTTTACAAACCACATAATAATTTGATTGTGTTAACAACTGAAAACTCCAAGTATAAGCAACCCACTGCAAGTTAAATCTAGTTCTGTTTTGATTAAATGACATAGAATACAATCTATATGAACTGTAATTTGCTTACAAAGCTCCTATAAATGAAAAGCAAACTATTGAACTCATTTTTCATAATCAAAACAACTTTATACAAAATATGATCCTAGGAATACTACTGAAGGTCAAAAGAAACACATTTCAACATTGTGACAGTAGCTAGCAAACTTACTTGGCAGCTGCAGTTTTAGAGGTGGTATTGCAGTGTCCGCAAAAATACTCATCCAAGTCCTCTTCCACTTTGCGAGGGCAGCCAACACAGCCCATATAAAACCAATTGGATCTTACTTGAATGACTTGACCTTCAACAGCAAACACTTGATCCTGAAATTTAAAGAAAGTTTAAATCAATAATAGCTATATTAGAAATTTCAAATGATTTTTATGACATGTAAAGAAAAACTTACAATCTTCTCTTCCATAGTTTTGAATTCGTTAAGCTGAGCTATGGAAATTTGTTGAATCTCAGGGGCTGGTTCCTCAGCAAGTAGGACAGGTGCATTCAACCTGCCATCCCTAGAATGCAGAAAAAATGATATTAAATTCATATCCTAACTACTAAAATCAGCAGGTAACTAAATGCACAAACCCCAAATTAAACTTCTGCACTTCTGGTATATCCAGATTTGCCTTCAAAACTGTAGCCCCTGTGGACGATAGACAAAGCTCCCCTATTATAAGAGAAATGGTGGTATTAGTTTACTGTAGCAGATTTGTGAAGCCACTAAACTGAAAAGGTTTGATTGAATATGACCTTTATATTCGTCAACAAAAACTGAGGTAACAGTGAGAATCACTGGTCGACCTTCATTGTGGGAGACCATGTCATCTACTTGGTTGCCAATAGTTCCCCATAAAGTCACCCTTACCATCTCACCTCTGTCGTTAAATAAACAGTGAGCAAATTAAAACTATTCTGAAGGATGCATAAACAAAAATAATGAAGTGAAAAAGCTGAATTCTAGTTACGTACTCAATCAATTTGAGTGTGATATCTTTCCAACGTTTTGTTGCTGAGATTTTGGAGGTGACTGCAGAATGTTGAACCAATTGGCCAACCACATCTGCAATATAGAAGAGCATGAAAAAGTTAACATTTGAAAGAGGGTAGTTTGACATGAACACCAACAAAAGTACCACCTACCCGATAAATTCTTCTTGTCATATAGCCTCTGCATCATGTCAGAGTGCTTGAGAAAATAAAACTTGTAGGATGGTATGCTTGGATAACTTTTCACATGTTGGACCAAAGTTGCTGAATCAAACTCCAACATCAAACGATTGGGCACTGGCCTGAATGTGTTCTTCGTAAGAGCAACCTTGAAATGTCTAATCTCATAGACCTCTTGCTCTCTCAGAGTGGATTCAAATTTTGGAATCAGAAATGGAGGAATCATAGCCCATATATCTGACCCCTAGAACAGAAATAAACATACATAAGGGATGGGTTGTTATAGTAGAGTTAGCTATGAAACTGGTTTGAAGAAACTGTACCTTTGAATCGATGAGGACCAAGTCCATATGCAGAAGCTTTCCAGTGTTGCAGTTTGTAGCTATCCACTTCCGAGAGACCCGAGTTTGAATGATCCATTTCCGGGAATTGGTGGAGAGATCCTTCAGCAGCTGCGATGCCATCTTGTTCTCTCAATTGCTTATTGGAAAAAGGGGTAGAGAATGGGTGTAAGGGTAAAGTTCTTTTTTCTGGAAGAACTTGTCCTTTTATAAGCTTCTCCAGCCGTGAAACCAGCCTACCCACGTCTGTAACCACCCAAATATACAACAAAAGGCGGTTGTAGTCTGCCGGAAGAGATCGGAGATAACCGTCGCCAGCCACTTCCTTTACGGCCTTTCATTTTGCCGATAACAGTGGTGATAACTGCATACCACTTCTATGAAACCTAAGTGACTCCCCTGCAAATTGAACAAAAAATCTAAAATCTTTTGCTGCCCCAATAAATCACCACTCGATAAAATAAACACTTCATACATTCTAATAGCAAATCAGAGAATCAAATTGCAGGCTAGGGAAAGCTGGATTTACCTGAAGTAGTCTTCTTGTAGAGGGTCTCCTCGAAGAGGATAACTCCGATGAGGTAATATACTCTACCAGGGACAGTGAAGAGGAGCTCAAGGAGAGCATGCATGTTCTCCTCATTATTCTCATCTGTGCAATAGAAACCCAAACAATCCAATCAGTAGCAAATCGAAGGAAGAAGAGTCCCCCTTAAAGAACCCTTCCAAAACTTACCCAAATACTGCTCTGCTATAGAAGACGTGACGGCGGCCATCGCTGCGGCGGAAGGAGCTTCGGTAGCCATCGGTGCGGCGGAGAGTAGGTACCAGAACTCCGGTGCGGCAGCCAGATTGACAGCAAATAATGGTGCGGCGGATTTAGGTCTGAACACCCTCTTCCTCACTGAAACAAATCCGATGGAAATACCAATAGTCTAGCTTCTCCATTGACGATGGGCTGCCAAGTAAAGATGGGCTTCACTTAGCCCATTCCAAACAATTTTTTCTTCATCAGAATATAAGAACACTGCTAATGTCTGGGCTGGATTAAGAAAAAATTCTATAGATCTGCTTCAATTTGCTCGATGAAAACCCAGTGAGTTATGGAATCAGAATTTCATTCTTGATTTCATTGGATCCATTTCATCATGGTTTATAAAAGTTTAAAATTCTTTTGTTTTATTCCATTAAGTTTCCTCTATTCCCACAAAAAAAAATTAAGTTTCCTCTACAACACCTCAGAACATAACAAACAAAAGAAATAAAACGGGCCTTCTCCTTATTCTTCTTATTGGGCTCAGCCTTCATGATTGGGTCAGAGAAAATTATAAAATGGCTTTGTAAGCCTTCCATTCGTCTAATGGAAAGCGAATGCCAAAACAATTCCCAGTTCTAAAAAACAGAGAACCGTTGCAAAAAAATAAATTCCCAAAAGCACGAACCACAAAGCTAGAAATGATTAAACTCCAATTATTTACAAATCTAAACTTGAAACTGTCAACATGGACAAAGCTAAAAAGTCATAACCAAGCTACTGATACGAAGAACTGAACTTCTGAGTATCTGAACACAAACACTGAAAACGATGAACTAAATTCTAAACTGGAAATTATTTACAGTACGATTGCCCAATCCTTCCCTGGTCTTCTCTTAGCCACTGCTGATTTTGACAACCACATGATGCACTGCTTCAGGATTGTAAAAACGGGGAACAGATTTCACCAAGAACTGAAACTTCTTGCCTTTCATTGACTTCAAATTCACCTCAAAGCTTGACCTCTCGAACTGCAGGTCATTCTTGAAAATGGAGTTAGCCATCGATCTGAAATTATTGCTGGTGAATAAAATCACAGGAGTCATGTTCATCTTTCACTTTCAGCTCAACCATGAAGCTTTTTTTGCGATCAGACCAGTACGCATTGACCTCAGAAACCTCTGCTGTAACTTGGTAGGTCACCCCCTATAAATAATTAATGAAGATAAAATCAAAAACCACAACTTCTCTTGAAAAATCTTACACAAATTGAAATGTGAAAATGCATCTCAATAAAACCTTGAGGGGACCATCGACATTCAAATCTTCCAGCAACTTGATGGAACTTGGGACTATAAAAGTCTGACATATCTCACCTACCTTGCGGGGGACACCATTGTCGCTGCTATAAAATGGACATCCGAATGGAATAAAAGTGAGTATTAACTATGTTAAAATGAGTACTAAAAAATGGAATGAATTGAATCTTATAGGAGACATACAAATCAAGCATGTCATGACCATCAGGATAGTGCAAATTCCCATAGAGTTTAGAAGCACATGAACTGGAAAAGTAGTACTCCCCTGCAATTCATTCCACATTATCAAACTTCATTTAATATATAAAATTGAATATGTGGTACTTATCTTGTGATAACAAAACTACTAAATAACTAACCATGGTACTTGTGGACAATAACAGAAGTCAAAATGAAGACAGCTCCATTTTCAGGTTCATCCTCAAGAAACAACTCAAGTTGGTCAACTATCGAGTCCCACACAATAACTTTCACAACTTCACCACTACTCAACAGGAAACACAAACCAAATGACTACATGTCAAAGACAGCATAGGCAATGCTAAAATGTAAACTTTCAGTCTATTGATACTCACTCAGTCAACCGAATATGAAGGTCTTTCTTCTTGATAGAAACCTGGTCATTACTAAGTTGTTCTGCAGGCTGACTTTGCACCAATTGACCAACCAAATCTGAAACACGAAAATATTTAGGTTACAAAGGTAATGCAAAGCAAAGGAACAAAAGCTAAGATCACCAAAACAATATAAAATGGCAGACCTGATAAGTAGTCATGATTCTGGAATGCAGCTTCGAACTGATCAGTCTTAAGAAACCTGAAACTAAACTTGGGGATTACTTCAGAATCCACCATTTCTTCACAAACAGAGTCGGGCAAAAGCACAATCCGAAAATCTGGTGCCGTGACACGGAAGGCAGTGGTGTTTCTTTGAACCAAGAAGTTAGCAAAGCTGTATACTGCGCCTTCCCTTATAATTTCAGCGAACCTTGGAAATGAAATCCTATGAATAACAGCTTTCATTTCATAACCCTGTAAACAGAAACAAAAAACTACATTAAATCCATCACAAAATTCAGAAATAACCAAAAGCTAAGATTGAGACACTTACCGCAACATCAACAATCATCATCGTGCGAAGAACACTTTCTCCATATCCATTTTGCTTGACATCCCACATCCGCAGCACTCGAACACGCACTTTACAGTCAACATCTTCAACACGTAAGTCAGCCAATGGACGGAAAGCCATGATATTGTTTCTCAAAATAGATACAAAACAAAAAGATGCTTCTAATTTCCGAAGAAGAGTTCTGTGATGTGGGATAAAAATTTACAACATGAAGGTCTATTTATACTCCCAGCAAAGAGAGTTACTGCCAACAAAGTAGGAGGGAAATATGTTAACTGCCACCGCATCTTCTGTTTGGAAGTAGTGGAGGTGAGGCCTTGATCCTAGGAAGTGCAGCAAACTGGACTAATTGGTTTTTTAATTCAATTTTACTGATTTCCATATTCCCGCCATAACTTTTATTTCTGTATACTAAGGAATATTTAGGCCAGCCAAATTCATTACTACTAATTCCATTTAATTAAAATAACTCTGAAAAACTACTTAGTCCAAAGAGCATCAAGTTTTTCGGTCCATAAGATATATTAAACCTGCAATGGTGTTATAAGGAGTCCAAGCAGTAAGCTCAACCAATCATACAAAGACTGGTTTGTTTTAATTTCAAAATCCATATTCATTAAACAATGACATCCAAAACTTTGGGTTATGAATGAATCATTTATCTTAGCGTGAAACCCTTTCACCGGGAGATTCAAAAACCTACCACTCTAATCATGAAAAGAAACATACAAACTAAGAGCACACACTGATAAAAACATACCCTCCAAATCAAGTACTATAAAGAAGTTTTATATAAGAAACCATGAAGATCTGCATCCTTAACCATTCTCAACCTGTCAAATTGCCTAATCTGGCTACTAATCTGAACTGGAAATTTCATTGCAAAATCTGTATACCATGTAAATTGGTTAATCTAAGCAGGTTCGAAGATCAAAACTTTCTAATTTAATTAAAAAGATTTGGAGATGATTCCAACACCCAACTAACCATAGCATAAGTTCAAAAATTGTTCACTTGTAAATTTCAATACAACTTTTGTAGCTACTCCCATTGGCCAGCATAGTTTGGTAAGAGAATAATAAGCTACATGAAACAAATTTAGTAATAAGCCCATTGGCCAAACACAACTAATCTGGAAAAATAGAGATTCACAGGAGGCACACACAACTAATCTATGTTCAATAAGGAATGACAGCACATGAGATCAACAATTTTAAGCCAAAAAATACATTGTACCCCTAGCCCATAAAAAGCTATATAGGATTAATGGTTATTAATAATTAATAATCTGGTGAAACCTACAATGAAATTGAAAACACGACACAATTTTGTTGACATGGAGAATTCCCTACTCCTTAAAAGCTGAAAATCAACAAATGCATCTTACCCCTATCTGACGAAAAGCTATATAGGATTAATGGTTATTAATACTCTGGTGGAACCTGCAATGAAATTGGAAATACGACACAATTCTGTTGACATGGAGAATTCCCTACTCCCTAAACACTGAAAATCAAGAAAAGCATGTTGCTCATGTCCTGAACTACCACAAACTCGAGGTACTGATGAAAAACACATTGACACTAATAAGCTACTGATATCATAACAATAAACACAAAAATCCAAATTTTTTCCAACTTTAAATTCTATCTTTAGAGTAGGAAAAATCCAAAACTGTGTGCAACTTAACACTCTAAACTTAACAACCAAGATTTCATTATCTTAATCAGATGGATCACTAAATTGCTGCCAACATAAGCATCGTTATTATGTAGTGAATCAAAAGATTCCAAATAATGGTAACAAACAGGTGATTATGGAGATAAATCTAAATGTTCAAGATGCTGCAAAACCTGTAAGCCATGTATACTGGTTAGTTCAGAGGTTAGAAGATCATAGGTATCTAAATTTGAGTAAAA